AGCAGGAGCAGGCCAGCCAGTGGCTGGGAGCAGCCTCTGCCTCCACTGTTCATGCCCCGGTAACCTGTGGCAGGAAGGTTTCTGGGACTCTGCTGTCCCTGCTCAGGTCCAGTAACATGGCCCGACACATGAGAGGCGCTCTGGACGGACAGAGTGCGAGCTCTACAGCTGTTAACACCCAGGAGATGGCTTCCAAGATTTTACCCACAGTGCCCAACACTTAAAACGCGACGTGGCTTCGTAAAGAAGTCGTCCTGGGTACTCAAGCTTCACAGATCCAGCAGCAAGGTTACGGGTCACCCGATCGCATGCTCATCTTTCCCTGTAGAGGAGCCAGGCTATGGAGGCGCTGGCTCTCGAAACGCATACCGACAGACACCCCGCAGTGGGAACCAACGAGGTTGATGTTGGCTTGAGACATGGTTCCCATCCGGATCTGATCGAATGCTCGGGTCAGAAAGGCAGCAAAGGTGCTAGCGAAGGCGATGGTCCGACCGTGGGTGGCGCAGCCCAGCGCCACGCTCACCTGCCACACAGAGAACAAGAATCAGAATCCCACGGGACCCAGTCCTGTCCTGTCCTGTCCTGTCCTGTACTGTCCTGCCCTGCCCTGCCTTGCCTTGCCCTGCCCCACCCCTGCTCTCAGCACACCCAACTGCTCTGCAGTCCCAGTGTGTCTCGTCGTCTTTCTTCCTTTTGCCTGCATAGGCTCTCACTCTCTTGCGACCCCCCTGCCTCAGCCTCCCGAGTAGCCGGGACCACTGGCACGCACCACCATGCATGGTCGTTCCATTCTCGTCTCCCACATTTAGCACCCCATCCTCCCTGCCCTGTCCACCCAGGTGGCCTCCTGGAGGGGAACAGGGAGTGAGTAGATGAAGTCTGTCTCATCTGCCTTCTGCCTGCTGTGGTTCCACACGTCCTGAAGGCCAACTGGCCATCCTGGACCTCACCTCACTCACGCCCTCTCCAAGAGGCCACCAACCGTGCAGTGGCCTGCTTCGCTCCCGTACTGTACAGCTTCCCCTGTCCTCTCGGATCATCCTGCCGCCATTCAGACACGCACCGTCACCTTCCATCTCTGCTCTCTCACCTCTACCTCGTCCGCCACACCCCCCACCTCTGTTCTCCGTCCCCGAAAGGCTCTCAACGAGCCACCCCTCCCGCCAGTCACGCGTTCTCATCTTTTTTTTTAAAGAATTTTTTTCCTCTTTAATAATTACTTTTTTATTTAATTTGATTTATTCATGTATTCTTAAGTTGAGTAGAGGAAGACACAGAGAGAGAGAGAGAGAGAGAGAAACTGAGAAAGCAAATCACCAGGTCTAGGACTCGAACCGTGGTCAGCCATGTGGGAGTGTCCAGCACCTTGGCCGCCACGCCACGTGTCCAGCAAGACCACAGGTACTGAGAAGGCCTGCGAGACACCCGCCCAGCACACTCACCATGTTTTGCTCAGCAATAAAACACTCGATGAAGCGCTCAGGATGCTCCTTCTTGAATATCTCAGAGAAGGTGGAGTTCTTGGTGTCACCATCCAGCACAACGACTCTGTCATTTATATGGCCCAGCCTAGCCAGAGCCAAACCACATGCCTTCCGAGTGGCCACCTAGAAGATGGACAGAATCGCGGGTCTGAGTTTCTTAGGGTGCATTTAGGAGAACAGCATAATTTTTACAGAATTACACATCATCGCCGACTTGGATGAAGACTGTGAACTTGTGCATCCACAGTCATCTCCTTTAGGGTCTTACATATGGATTACCAGCCAACCTAAGGTCCCGACTTGGCCCACTGGATGCCGATTTCTTAAAAACCTGTCTCGCACATGGCTGATGTGGTACCTGGCTTTTTCTCAAATCATGCTTTTCAGTTCACTTCCTCCTACCCCAACTTCCCAAGCAGGAAAAGACACCACAACTCCTCAGCGGGGTGGCAGGCACGCACAGTGCTTGCGGCGGTCTTCAAGTGCTCTGCTGTATTCACGGTCCACCGTCTCGACCTTTATAGGTCCTTTACTGGCTACATCTGCCTCAACTACACTCACTCCCTGCCCCACCACCCAGCATATCAGAAATTGGAAACTGCCTCCGTGGCTTTTCGATCATAAAACTCGTTAATACTGGAAAAAGTTACATTTGAAATGCAAACTTTACATTCATGACGGCAATAACTGAGGGATTCCACTAGGACATTCTTTGAGACTGTACTGAATTTATGATTCACTCTAGGAGAGAACTGACATCTTTTTAACACTAGTTTCTTTCTTTTTTCCTATAAAAAAGAGAAGAAACAAGGTCCATCAGTTTCCGAAACTGCTATGCACCGAATTATCACACAACCCAGCCATTGTGCTCCTGGGTATATACCACCCAAGAGAAAACATACTCCTGTACAAAAACGTGCACACAAACGTTCAAAGCAGCATTATTCCCAATAGCCACAGAGCCGAGACGGCCCAGGTGACTACCAAGGGAAGAATGAACAAACTGTGGTACCGTTAGAACATGGAGATTATCTGCCCATGAAAAGGAATGACGTGCTGGCACATGCCACAACCCCAGGTGAACAAGTGGAAGAAGTCAGACACAAAAGATCACCAATCGTACGATCCCCTTGAAGGCGTGACACGTCTAGAACACGCCAACCCAGAAAGACAGAAAGTATTTCAGGAGTTACCCAGGACTAAAGGGTGGGGATGGGGAGAGACTGCTCACAGGGAAGGGGGTTTCTTTGGGGGGAGTGATGGAAAAGTTGTCAGACTGACTCTGGTGGTGACAGTGCAGCCCTGTCGATCCGCTACGGACCCCTGAGTTATACATTTTCGGTGGGTTAATTACATGGTCTATGGATTATTCTTCGATAAAGCTGTTAAAAATCAGCACCTGGGGGGACCAGCAATTAGCGTAATGGCTATGTCACTGGACTCCCACGTAGTAAACCGCAGTTCGCGTCCCGGACTGGTGGCTTAAAACTCACGCCGGGCGCGTGTGCGTGCGTGCCCAAGATCCCGAGAGGAGAACGGAGGAGAAGGGACTGCGGCGTGGCCATCCCCCCTGGGGGGTGATTTCTCGCTTTCTGTCTCTCTCTGTCTGGCGAGTGCACGTGCCCTGTAGCGAAAACCTCTCCAAAAAAAAAAAAAAATCAACACCTGGGGGCCAGCAGGTGATGTGGTGGTTAAGGCGCTGGGCTCTCACACGGCGAACCGTGGTTCAAGTCCTGGACCCATTTCTCTCTCTGGTGAGCGTGCTGACCCTGTAACAAATTTTTAAAATAGCAATAAAGATAGATAAATCTTTTAAAAAGGTGTCTTCTGCAGCCTTTGTCTTGTTTTTTTTTTTTTTTTTTTTCTGTCTTCATTCAGCCACACAGGCACCCTAATGTAAGAAATGGACTGATCTTTGCCCATTTGTTTTGCTACCAGCTCTCTTACTGGACTCCGTCCTCAATCTAACCACTTCCAGTTGATTCTCTGGGGCTTTGCAGACAGATGACTGTCACTTGCAAAACAAAACAAAACAAAACAAAACAAGACTTGCCTTCTCCTTGTGGGTACTGACTCTTTTGTTTATTTACAACGGCCAGCACTGCCAGCAGAGCTCAATCTCTGACAGATTGAGAATACTTTAACCATTAGGTTTGGAAAGGACTCCAGATGGAAGATGTCTCGATCCAGATCAAATGGAAAAAGTATCTCGCCAGTCACATCTCTCTCTCTCTCTTTTAGGAGAGATTTTTGCTATAGTGCGCGTGTGATCGTCACAGAGACAGACAGTGAGAAATCACCCCCCAGGGGAGATGGTCACACTGCAATCCCTCCTCCTCTATTCTTCTCTCGGAATCTTGGGCATGCATGCATACGCACCCAGCATGAGTTTTAAACTGCTGGGTCCTGGACTTGAACCGTGGTTGAGTACGTGGGATTCCAGCGACATAGCCATCATGCCATCTGCTGGTCCTCAAATTTTGTTTGAACTAAGAGGGAGCACCACTCAACAGGGCCTAACTCCTAATTCCCCAAGAGGAATGAGGGCCAGCTGGAGGTATGGTGGTTAAGACAGCGGGATTCCACGAGCTGAATATGTGGTTCGAGTTGCAGACCCCATGGGTTGAAAAAACACACTGAATGGGTGTGAGCACCTGCTCAAAATTCTTAGAGAAGGGATTGTGGTGTGGCCATTCCCCTGCTGGGGAAAGGCAGGGCAGTGATTGCTACCTCTCCTCTGTCTCTGCATCTCTCTTTCTCTTTCCAGGAGCAGAGGCGCCCTACAGCAAACTAAAAGAAAAACAGGAATAAATGATTTGTATAAGGTGCTGTGTTTAGCACATAGATGGGAACTTTGAAAAGCTCACCAAAGGGACCAGCAGATGGTGTAATGGTCACGTCACTGGACTCCCACATGCTCTACCACAGTTGGAGTCCCAGTCCCGGCGGCTTAAAACTCATACCAGGCACATGTGCGTGCATGCCCAAAATCCTGAGAGGAGAAGGGATTACAGTATGGCCATCCTCCCGGGGAGGAGCAGGGTGGTGGTGGAGATTTCTCACCTCCCATCCCTCCAGCAAGTGCGCACAACCCCTATAGCAAAACTCTCTCTTAAAAAAAGAAAGAATGTGAGCAAAGAAAGAAAACAGATTTAAGCATGAGTTTATTTTGTAATGAACAATTATTTTGTAAAATTATTATTTATTTAGGTACCAACAGATGGTGTAATGGTTAGGTCACTGCACTCCCACATAGCTGAACGTGGTTTGAGTCCCAAAACCGGCAGCTTAAAACTCCTTCCAGGCGCGTGTGCGGTCATACTCAATCCTGAGAGGAGAATGGAGGAGAAGGGCTTGTGGTGTGGCCATCTCCCCTGGGGGTTATTTCTTGCTTTCTGTCTCTCCGGTGAGCACATGCAACTCCAGCAAAAAGAAACAAAAACAAAAACACAGACAAAAAAACTATCTTAAAAAAAAAAAGAAAGAAAAACTATTGGGACCAGCAGTTGGCATAATGGCTATGTCTCTGGACTCCCATGCAGTCGACCGTGGTTCGCGTCCCGGACCTGATGGCTTACGAGTGCATGCGCCCTACAGCAAAAACAAACAAACAAATAACTTCTCCAAAAAAAAAGAAAAGAAAAAGAAAAAAAGAAAAACAATTTTCTCATAATAAAGGGTTATAGAGTTTTTCTTTCTTTTTTTAAAAAAAAAATAATGATTTAACTTGATTTATTATTTTCTTCTTAATTATTACACCAGAGAGAGATGCGGGGAGGGGTGCCGAGAAAGCAAGCTGCCAGGTCTGCAACTTGAACCGTGGTAGGCCATGTGGGAGGCTAGCACCTCAACCAGCACGACGACTCTTGCTGGCCCCTTGGTACGAAAAATCTGAAACCCGTACACGGTATTTTTTATAAGACTCATCTCTCACAAACTTTTTTTTAAACAGCTGTTTTGCTACACGGTGCACATACCTGGCTGGAGAGAGAGGCGAAGGGGGGTCAGAAATCACCCACCGGTGTGGGGCCCGGCCCCACAGCCATCCCTTTGCCCCCATTCTCCTCTTGGGATTTCAGGTACAGACGCACATGAGCCCGGCATGTTTTTCAAGCTGCTGGGTCTGGTACTCAAAACAACACAGCTGGCCAGGGTAGGATTCAGCCACCTTAGCCTCCACGCCACTGGCTGGTCCCCACAAACTGTTGAAAGACCTCACATATACACACAATTATGCCGTTCTCCCCTCTTTTGACCTAAGAATACCAGAGGGAATTATATTAGTAAGTCCCCAAGAGCAATGAATCGTCTACTCTCTAATGTAAACTTCATGGATTCATGTTCTTCTTTTAATGTGCTAATAATGGAGCTGAGATTTGGTTAATGTTTCGTTTGCCACGTTTATTATGTTAACGTTCCTCAGTGAGGCCGGTCTACAGGTTTGCCTTCTGGGCTACATGAACAAATTGAGAATGACATTTCTGTCTCCCTCCATACTTGGAAGCACTGGAAATAGCTCTTAAATGGCCTATCCCTTGAAAGATAAGGATAAATCATTCTCCTAGCCTGGTGCACAGCTCTTGGATGGTCTGCTCAATTGTTTGTTTTTTTTTAATGTGGTAGAGGGTATGGTGTGCTCGTCAGAGAGAGGAGGAGAAAGCACCCCCCAACCTCTGCAAGGGATGTGATCACACCATAATCGCTTCTCCATTTCTCCCTTCTCTTGCGACTGTGTGCACACATGTGCTCCCGGCATGTTTTCAAGCCACCATGTCCGGGACCTAATCTCTGTGGTGGGCCACGTGGGATCCGGGTGCCAATCACTGAGCCACGGGCTGGCCCCTACATTTTTGTTTTTTTCTTGTATGACCACATCTGTGTTTACATTGTTTGTATCTGTTTTGGTCAACTTTGGTATCTTACTTATTCCTAAACAACAGTACCCCCGCATCCCATTCAAACTGACAGATGGTCATATGCTCACCACAGAGACAGCAGTGAGGGACAGGGAGAAAGCACCTCCCCACAACGATGGGGCGTGATCGAACCACAACCCCTTCTCCTCCGTTTTCCTATTCTGTTGGGGTTCTGGGCACACGTGTGCACAGGCCCTGAGTGTTTTT